GAGTGAAACTCCGTCTCAAAAAAAAAAAAAAAAAAAAAAGAGATTCTTCAGCCTCAGCCACCCGAGTAGCTGGGACCACAGGCGCGTGCCACCATGCCCAGCTAATTTTTGTCTTTTTAGTAGAGACGGGGTTTCACCAGGTTGGCCACGTTGGACTCGATCTCTTGACCTTGTGATTCACCCGCCTTGGCCCCCCAAAGTGCTGGGATTACAGGCGTGAGCCACCATGCCCGGCCTTCCAGAACTATTTAAATATAGTAGTTGCCATGTGAGAAGTTAATTTTACTTTGTGAGTTAGAAAAAGTAAAAAGACAAAATTGGAAAACTGCAATAAGTAATCAAAAACAGCTCCAAAGAAAAAAGCCATCAATAGAAACAAAAGGCATTTTTCTAGGTGTATCATGCATAAAAAGAATAATTACATAATATTAAATATATTCCTTAATGAACAGATTAATAAAGGAGGTAAAATTTACAGTCATTGGAACAAATAAACTATATTTAACTACTTGTTTTGCTGCCACTGTTTAAAATATAAAATAACTTAACGTCTAAAAACTACATACTCTTGAGTGTTTGCTTTTTAGAGAGCCCCTTTTGAGATACTAAAGAACTGTAATGAATTATCTGAGTATAAATTATCAATACCAGGCTGGGTGCGGTGGCTCATGCCTGTAATCCCAGCACTATGGGAGATCGAGGTGGGTAGATCTACAATTTAAAAATATCTATTTTAGTTATTAGCAATAAGAGAAAAATATTAAATTGGATGAATTAGCTGGATCAACAATTTCCTACCACACTACTATTATTTATAGCTACCATTGGTATAATATTTTACAAGATTTCTAAGATGTCTATGTTAACTATTGATAGCACTTTTCACAGTATACCAATTTCCATTTTTACTTTCTTCTCCCCTTGTCACTTAAATGTATTATTTTAACTCTGCTAGGAAATTTTATTTTACAAATTCCTTAAGTACTGAAGAGGTGATTTTAAAACATAAATGGATGCACCTGTTAATCCTGAGATGGTGATGACAGCAAAACTAAAAATCAGATGATTTTTTTTACTCAAATTTCTGCTTTAGTTTTTTTTGGAAGATGGCTGGCAGAATAGAAAGAACAGCCAAGATCATCAGAATAAATATTGAGTTCCAGGAAACAGCTTCCCCTGCTGTTGTAAGTTGGTACAGTGTTGTTCCTGCCTTAATGGCTACAAAAGAAGGAGGTGCGACACCTGAAATAAAAAATAAAAACATGCAGTAAAAACCACCAACTGTTTTTAAAAATTAAAATTTTCTGTGTGCATAAAGTTTCTTAATATAGCTATTTCATTTTAGAAAAAAAAATTAAGAATTTAAAGCTCATTTATTTCCATATAAAGAATCTTTCATAATCACCTCTTAAGGATAATAAATTTTAAAAACTCAAGAAAAGTACCCAGAGAATTTTACATTTATTAAAAATCTTTTTTTCCCCCCTTAGACAGTCTGACTCTGTACACAGGCTTGAGTGCAGTAGCACAATCATCACTCACTGCAGCATCAGTCTCCCCAGGCTCAGGTGATCTTCCCACCTTGGCCTTCTGAGCAGCTGGGACTACAGGTGTGTGCAACCACACCCAGCCAATTTTGTATTTTTTGTCAAGAGACAGGGTTTTGCCATATTGCCCAGGCTGGTCTCTAATTCCCAGGCTCAAGCAATTCGCCTGCCTTGGCCTCCCAAAGTGGTGGGATTACAGGCGTGAGCCTGTAACAGCAACCAGCCTATCGAAAACCTTAAAAGAAAAAAGACTCGGCACCATGGCCCATGCATGTAACCCCAACACTTTGGGAGCCCAAGGCTGGCAGATCACTTGAGGTCAGGAGTGTGAGACCAGCCTGGCCAACATGGTAAAACCCTATCTCTACTAAAAATACAAAAATGTTCTGGGCATGGTGGCACACACTTGTAATCCCAGCTACTCAGAAAGCTGAGGCAGAAGAAAGAATCACTTGAACCCAGGAGGCAGAGGTTGCAGTGAGCCGACAATTGTGCCACTGCAGTCCAGCCTGGGTGACAGAAAGACTCCTGTTTCAAAAAGAAAAAAAAAAAAAGTGCTCCATTATAGCAATTTCAAGTTTAGGAAATAATAATGTCTATGAGGTGTAAAATAAACATCTGGAAACAATCTAAATGTTCAAAAATAAGGTTGAGTAGATTGTCATTTATCTTTGACGGATAGTTTAAAGTAGTAGGAGATATAACATGGAAAGATACTCAAAGTGTGAGTAAAAAGAGCAGTATATACAAAAGTACATACAGAATGATTGTATCTCATTAGAAATCAAAATAAATGGAAAAAAATTACTTTAGCCAAAGCTGAAATTAAATATCTGGATTTCACCTGTAAAATGGAGACAAAAATTCTCTTTAGATTCTATGGATATGACATTTAACAAAATTAAAAATTCTCCGTGCTGATGTAAGTTTGTCAATAAGTAGCAATAAATAATTGATTTTGGTTATTCTTTTCAAAAACATATGTTCTTACAAATATTAACTTGAGCTTTAATAGGTATTCAAAATGTAAGAAATCTGCTCATTTTTTGACATCAAAACAATTCAACTCTAATTGGAAAGAAAAGCAAAACACTCCTACGAAGAACCAATGCTGGTTTCAATAAAAGGAAAAATAAGGGCCAGGCATGATGGCTCATGCCTGTAATCCCAACACTTTGGGAGGGGGAGGCAGGTGGATCACCTGAGGTCAGGAGTTCAAGACCAGCCTGGCTAACATGGTGAAACCCCATTTCTACTAAAAATACAAAAAATTAGCTGGGCATGGTAGCCCATGCCCATAATCCCAGCTACTCGAGAGGCTGAGACAGGAGAATCGCTTGAAGCCAGAAGGCGGAGGTGAGGCTGCACTGAGCTGAGATCACACGGTTGCACTCCAGCTTGGGCAACAAGAAAAAAACTCCATCTCAAAAAAAAAAAAAAAAAAAAAAAAAAAAAAAAAGGATCATTTCAAGTTTAACATTTTAATACTTGATTAGAAAACAAAGGAAATATTTTGCCAAAGCAACATTTAAAAAAAAGAAAAAACACAGGAGAAAATTACTCAAGCCAATTTTTTTTCCCTCTCCACTTAGAGCAAGTGGAGGTAAAGGTCCTGCTTAACCCTGTATTATTAAAACGATATAGAGTAGAAAGTGCTCCTCTTTAAAGAGGTGACACAAAAATAACCTAAATCAACACAATGCAACAAACACTTCTGAGCATCTATTTATACAGCCAGGCTTTGTGCCTAAGAGTTCTAGATAATACTGGCATATCTGCAGAGAACATGCATGCAATCTAGTCCAGCTGGACACTGTTAGATAGGCACACAGTTAGCTCACACACAGCAAGACCTTACCTAGAAAAGTACCAATAAAAAAAACTTTCAATGGCACGTTTATCACAGGAGATGTGATATTAATAAACCAATTAGGCAGAAATGGTGTTATTCTCAAAAATATAATGTAGTTAATGAGATGTTCTCTGTGACGTTCAACCTGTCATAAGAAAGAAAAGAATTAGCATCAGATGAGGACAACTTCAAAAATAAGTTGCTTAATATAAACACATTATTTCAAATTATCATTCCTGATACTTCAGAGTATACCCAATAGAAATGATCCAAAAAAAGCCAGGTGGTGGCTCACGCCTGCAATCCCAGCACTTTGGGAGGCTGAGGTGGATCAGCTTGAGGTCAGGAGTTCGAGACCAGCCTGGCCAACATGGTGAAACCCTGTCTATACTAAAAATACAAAAAATTAGCCAGGTGTGGTGGTGTGCGCCTATAATCCCAGTTACTTGGGAGGCTGAGGCACGAGAATTGCTTAAACCCGGGAGGCAAACATTACAGTAAGCCAAGACTGCGTCACTATACTCCAGCCTGGGTGACAGGGCGAGACTCTGTCTCAAAAAAAAAGAAAAGAAAAAAATGCATTAGGAGTTAGCAGATACAAGCTTTTTGATAACACATGCATAGCATGCTGCATCAACATAAAACAGATAGGTATCTAACTATGTGGATGCCTTTATATTAATACTTTGACTTCTCCACTGATTGAACTTACTAGGATAAAGAATTAAAATTACCATCAGGTATAAAACATTTGTATTGGAAATTATTAACATTCATATTTGCCTATCACCTATTTTTATTTGGTCAGAAGATAATTCTTATTACTTGAGTTAGCTTAGGAGTTAATTTATGTTGGGTTAATACATGTAGTTAATTCGTGTAGGGACTAAATACTGACCTCCCACTTAACAAAGAGTTACATCAAATAATTTAAAAATACATGTTTACCTGCTGTGACCATTTTACTGCTTTTTCTGTTAGGTATTTGTATACAACTGGTCTCCCGACTAAATAGGAAAGCATGTAACAAAAAGAGGCACCAAGTCCAGAACACTGGAAAACAACAAGAAGCCATAGCATTTTGCATTTTTCCATCTTATTCACATGGATATATTCACCTGAGTAAAAGCTCATTACTTTTTTCAGAGGCAGGGAGGGCACTCTGCATGACATCTACTGTACTTTCTCAGACCAAATTATAACTCATATGAGATTGGCTAAAACAAACTGGCACTTGTGATTACACCTAGTGACTATATCCAAATAATTAATGCTAGGCTTTAACCTAAGAATAAAATTTCAGGAGCCAATTTTCTCCTCACCAATTTCTAAGCTTGAAAACACCACCTCTGGCCTTGGGACTTAACTCAGTGTGCTCACCAACACTCTTTGGACTGTACCAGTTACAAAACCCAATAGGAAAGAAAAGCTAAAACACAGTTTATAAATGCAACTAAGTCTATAACTCGTCTGTTCTAGGGGGAAAACAAATTATAACACTTCCATGTGGAGGGACTTTAACATGAACTCCTCTTAAACTAATAAGTTTACGCTTACATAGACTAGTGGTATTAAAATATCATCATCATCTTCATCATTCTATTTTTTTCAGTCTCCCAATTTTATTTTTTTATACTTACCAAACAAACAAGAAATAAGGCTAGTGGAAAGGGATAAAGAAACCCTGAGAGTATACTGAGAAATATGGAGCCTGGAATAGCAAATGTTTGCAAGCTGGTAACTTCTAAGTTAAGGATTAGAACATAATTAAGTGAATTTTAAAAGATAAATGTAACATTTCAGGAAAAAAAGTATAAATACAGAAATTATCATGTAATGAGTAATATTCAAACGTTTAAAAAATATACAACTCTTGAGCTGCAGTGCCTCTAAGTTGACCATTTACTTAGTACCAAATATACTACTAAGTGTGTGCTACTAAAAGGTTTCCTAGACAAAAATCCAATGTGTACTAGATAGAGAGGAAATGGGCACTTTGGGGGAGGGAAAAAACAAAAGAGAAAAGGTCTTCCATAATCTTTTAGTGCTTCTCTAATACATTTTATTTTACTCCCAAATGTTTTCAGGGAAATCATATACATATAATTATTTCTAAGTTAATTATGAAGATTTACCTAAATTCACTACTCATTTTAAATGAATAGGAATTACAAGATGGAAAAAATATGAAAATAAGAATAAAAATTACGGCCGGGCGCGGTGGCTCAAGCCTGTAATCCCAGCACTTTGGGAGGCCGAGGCGGGTGGATCACGAGGTCAAGAGATCGAGACCATCCTGGTCAACATGGTGAAACCCCGTCTCTACTAAAAATACAAAAATTTGCTGGGCATGGTGGTGCGTGCCTGTAATCCCAGCTACTCAGGAGGCTGAGGCAGGAGAATTGCCTGAATCCAGGAGGCGGAGGTTGCGGTGAGCCGAGATTGTGCCATTGCACTCCAGCCTGGGTAACAAGAGCGAAACTCCGTCTCAAAAAAAAAAAAAAAGAATAAAAATTACAACATACAGTAAAAGTCACATATCTTATTTATTTTTGGAGTCTTGCTTTGTTGCCAAGGCTGGAATGCAGTGGCATACTCATGGCTCACGGCAGCCTCAACTGCCCAGGCTCAAGCAGTTCTCCCACATCGGCCTTGCGAGTAGCTGGGATCACAGGCGTGCATGTCACTACATCAATTTTTATTATTTGTAAAGATGAGGTCTGGCTATGTTGCCCAGACTACTCTTGAACTCCGGGCTCAAGCAACCCTCCCACACTGGACTCCCAAAGTGCTGAGATTACAGACATGAGCCATGATGCCCGACCCACAAATCTTGTGTTTGAAATAGATTTGGCTGGGCACAGTGGCTCACGCCTGTAATATTAGCACTTTGGGAGGCAGAGGTAGGTGGACCACGAGGTCAGGAGATTGAGACCATCCTGGCCAATATGGCGAAACCCTGTCTCTCCTAAAAACACAAAAATTAGCCCGGCATGGTGGCACGTGCCTGTAGTCCCAGCTACGCAGAAGGATGAGGCAGAAGAATCACTTGAACCTGGGAGGTGGAGGTTGCAGTGAGCTCACGCCACTGCACCCCAGTGTGGTGACAGAGCGAGACTTTGTCTCAAAAAAAAAAAAAAGAACTATTTTTGGCTGGGCATGGTGGCTCATGCCTGTAATCGCAGCACTTTGGGAGGCGGAGGCGGGTGGATCACCCTAGGTTGGAAGTTCGAGACCAGCCTGACCAACGTGGAGAAACCTCCTCTCTACTAAAAATACAAAATTAGCTAGGCATGGTGGTGCATACCTGTAATCCCAGCTACTCAGGAGGCTGAGGCAGGAGAATCGCTTAAACCCCAGAGGTTACAGTGAGCTAAGACTGCGCTATAGAAAAACTCAGTCTAAAAAAAAATAGAGGCCGGGCGCGGTGGCTCAAACCTGTAATCCCAGCACTGTGGGAGGCCGAGGCGGGTGGATCACAAGGTCAAGAGATCGAGACCATCCTGGTCAACATGGTGAAACCCTGTCTCTACTAAAAATACAAAAAATCAGCTGGGCATGGTGGCACGTGCCTGTAATCCCAGCTACTCAGGAGGCTGAGGCAGGAGAATTGCCTGAACCCAGGAGGCGGAGGTTGCGGTGAGCCGAGATTGCGCCATTGCACTCCAGCCTGGGTAACAAGAGCGAAACTCCGTCTCAAAAAAAAAAAAAAAAAAAAAATAGAAATTTTTTTTTTACTTTTCCATCATTCCCAGTTTTGGTCTAAACCTCCTTTTTTCCCCTCTAATATGATTTACTCACAAGTCAAAGTGAATTTTCTCAATATCTCTCCAGCCTAATTTAAAATTTCTATCTTTACTTATTATTCCTTTTTCTCTAGTTCCCATTTTACGCATGTTCTCATTTCAATCTCTTCCTCCTTCCTCCTAGGTTTTTTCACCTTCAACTCTGTTCTCCTTCACAGGATCTCTCTTCTACAAAACCATGCAGTTGCCTGTAACTTACAAAACAAATCTAGGCTTTCCTCAACCAAGATATCCTATCCAGCTACTGCTCCTCACCTTCACTTTCTCAGAAGAGATTTTATCCTTGTTCCCTGTGACCTGCTTTACCTATCCACTATGATACTGAAACTTCCTCATAGCCAATAAAACTTTTTTTTATCAGTAGTCACCTTTCAGTGATCCCTACATAGGATTAGGCTTCATCCTGCATGAAACATGGCTTCACTGAACTGTAAGTTTTCTTCTATATTACAAGTAATTTCTTCTTTAGGTTTTTCTCTTTGCCCTCAAATATGAAATTTCTTTAACATTCTGTTAGCCACACTCTCCCTTTCCTTTGATAAATCTGGCAATTTCCATGGCTTCAATTATCAACCACATATAGTACCAATAACTCAAAACTCTTTGAGTCATCAGCCTCAAATTTTCCACTCATTTCCTAGGTATCTCCATTAAAAACAAAACACACACACATACACACACTTTTTGGGTTAAGATCATATTATGGATAGTTTCATACACATATAAAAGTAAAGAAACTAATGTTATAATGCCCTATATTAGCATATTTCAGGCTTGGTGCGGTGGCTTATGCCTGTAATCCCAATACTTTGAAAACCTGAGAGTGGATCACTTGAGGCTAGGAGTTCAAGAACAGCCTGGTCAACATGGTGAAGTCCCGTCTCTACTAAAAATACAAAAATTAGCTGGGCACAGTAGCTCATGTCTGCAGTCCCAGCTACTCAGGAGGCTAGGGCACAAGGATCACTTGAACCTGGGAGGCAGAAGTTATAGTGAGCTGAAATCATGCCACTGCCCTCCAGCCTGGCCAACAGAACGAGATTCTGTCTCAAAAAAACTAAAAAGAAAAAAAAAAAAAAAGGCCAGGTGCAGTGGCTCATGTCTGTAATTCCAGCCCTTTGAGAGGCAGAGCCAGGTGAATCACCTGAGTTCAGGAGTTTGAAACCAGCCTGACCAATACAGTGAAACCCCGTTTCTACTAAAAATACAAAAACCTCAAAAAGAAACAAAAGAAGACAACAACCACAAAATAAATAAATATAAATAAAAATACAAAAATCTGCCAGGCGTGGTGGCACACGCCTGTAGTCCCAGCTACTCTGGAAGCTGAGACCGGAGAATTACTTGAGCCCAGGAGGCAGAGATTATAATAAGCTGAGATTGCGTCACTGCACTCCAACCTGGGTGACAGAGGGAGAAGACTCTGTCTCAAAATTAAATAAATAAAATAAAAATAAGCCTGGACAAGGTGGCTCACGCCTATAATCCCAGCATTTTGAGAGGCTGAGGTGGGCAGATCACCTGAGGTCAGGAGTTTAAGACCAGCCTGACCAACATGGTGAAACCCCATCTCTACAAAAATACAAAAATTAGCTGGGCATGATAGCGGGTGCCTGTAATCCCCAGCTACTCAGGAGGCTGAGGCAGGAGAATCACTGGAACCCGGAAAGCAGAGGCTGCAGTGGGCTGAGACTGCGCCACTGCACCCCAACCTGACACCTGGCAACAAAGCAAGACTCTGTCTCAAAAATAAATAAATAAATAAATAAAAAGCTCCATATTTTTCAATGTGCAACTATTTTAATATAATTAAAATAATTCCTTTTCTTTTTACCATAAATATGATACCACTGTCAGACTTCAAGAAATGAACTATAGGCCGGGCGCGGTGGCTCAAGCCTGTAATCCCAGCACTTTGGGAGGCCGAGGCGGGTGGATCACGAGGTCAAGAGATCGAGACCATCCTGGTCAACACGGTGAAACCCCGTCTCTACTAAAAATACAAAAAATTAGCTGGGCATGGTGGCGCGTGCCTGTAATCCCAGCAACTCAGGAGGCTGAGGCAGGAGAATTGCCTGAACCCAGGAGGCGGAGGTTGCGGTGAGCCGAGATCGCGCCATTGCACTCCAGCCTGGGTAACAAGAGCGAAACTCCGTCCCCCCCCCAAAAAAAAAAAAAAAAAAAAAAAAAAAAAAAAAAAAAAAAAAAAAAAAAAAAAAAAAGAAATGAACTATAATTCCTTATTGTCATAAAGACTAGTCTTATCAGAATCTGAAGGTCCACACAAAGTAATTGCCCAATTATCACTTAAGTGTAGGGTCTTTGTTTTTGTTTCTTCCTTTCAATTTACTGAAGAATACAGATCATTTGTAGAATTTACCGTTTATTGAATTTTGCCTGTTGGATCCTTAGGGCAGTTTATGCTCTGTCCTTTACCTATAGCAGTAGTCAAAACTATACTTCGTTTGCATGGGAATGTGACTTGGGCTTAACTTTCTGTTTAGATTTCTCTTTTCTTATACTGAAAAATCTTGCTTCTCGATAACACCAACACAATTACTGATTTGTGCTTTACATACTATTAAAATATATTTTAAAGTAAATATATAAAATATATACTATGCATTAGTATTAATAATCTAAAATGTTTCCACATATTTAAATATTTTACAGTATTATTGCCCAGGAGTTCCAGTTTGAGACCAGCCTGGGCAACATGGTGAAATCTGATGTCTAGAAAAAAATACAAAAAATTAGTCAGGTTTGGTGGCACATGCCTTTAGTCCCAGCTGAGGCAGGAGGATTACTTGAGCCCAGGAGGTCAAGGTTCCACTGAGCCATGATCATGTCACTGCACTCAGCTGGGCGACAGAGCAAAACTCTGTCTCAAACAACAAAAACAAAGATTTCTTTGAAGTCTTTTCTTCAAAGAATTTTCCCATTTCTAACCATCTCATATAAGTGGAATAATACAATATTCGCCCTTTTGTGCCTACCCTCTTTGACTTAATATGTTTTAAGGTTAATCCATGGCTGTAGCATTCATCAGTATTTATTCCCTTTTATGGCCATTCCATTTTACGGCCAAGTAATAGTGCATTGTACATATATATTATATTTTGTTTATTCATTAACTTGTCAAAGGACATGGGGTTTATTGTATGGCTATTGTGAATGTTGCTGTGACCACAGCGTATAAATACCTCTTCAAGACCCTGCTAAATTTTAATCTTTCAATTATTTTGGGTCTATGTCAAGAATTTTTTTGAGACAGACTCTCCTTTTGTCGCCCAGATTGGGGTGCAGTGGCAAGATCTCAGCTCACTGCAATCTCCACCTCCCAGGTTCAAGAGATTCTCCTGCCTCGGCCTCCCGAGTAGCTGGGACTACATGCATGTGCCACCACATCCAGCTAATTCTTGTATTTTTAGTAGAGACAGGGTTTCACCATGTTGGCCGGGCTAGTCTCGAACTCCTGACCTCAAGTGATCTGCCAGCCTTGGCCTCCCAAAGTGCTGGGATTACAGGCCTGGGCCACCACACCAGGCCCTGATAATATTATTCCGAATTTTTTTTTTGAGACAGAGTCTCGCTCTGTTGCACAGGCTGAAGTGCAGTGGCACGATCTTGGCTCACTGCAACCTCCACCTCCCCAGTTCAAGCAATTCCACCCACCTCCGAGTAGCTGGGACTACAGGTGCCTGCCATCTGCAGTTGGCCAGGCTGGTCTTGAACTCCTGACCTTAGGTGATCCGCCCACCTCAGCCTCCCGAGTAGGTGGGACTACAGGCACGTGCCACCACGCCCAGCTAATTTTTATATTTTTAGTAGAGATAGGGTTTCACCATGTTGGCCAGGATGGTCTCAATCTCTTGACCTCGTTATCTGCCTGCCTCAGACTCCCAAAGTGCTGGGATTACAGGCGTGAGCCACTGCACCCAGCCTTATTTGTCTTTTTAAAATAAAAATTGGTTTAGGCTGAGCGTGGTGGGTCATGCCTGTAATTCCAGCACTTTGGGAGGCTGAGGTGGGCGAATCACCTGAGGTCAGGAGTTCAAGGCCAGCCTGGCCAACATGGTGAAACCCTGTCTCCACCAAAAATACAAAAATTAGCTGGGCATGGTGTTGGGCACCTGTAATCCCAGCTGCTTGGGAGGCTGAGGCTGGAGAATTACTTGAATCCAGGAGGTGGGGAGGTTCCAGTGATCAGAGATCGCACCATTGCATTCCAGACTGGGTGACAAGAGTGAAACTCCAACTCAAAAACCAACAAAAAAAGTTGGTTTACAAAAGGTAATGATTAGTTTTACAACATCAAGAGATAATGTATTTCATTAACTGAGAAGATTTGGAAAATAGGTTGGATAAGAATAAAAGATATTAGCAAATCAGAAATGAAAATTAAAGTCCACAATTTGCAAAATTAAGTACCCACAGCATAAGGACTTTGAAATAAAGCTATTTTCCTGACTAGTTAAAATGTAATATATTTCTATAAAATAAATATATATCAAAAATTGTGAAAAACATTCATACCTTTGAATAAATATCTTAAGAATGTTTGCAAAGGAAACAAGAAAAAAATAATGAACAAAGGAGATTCATAATATACAGCTATAAAAATTAATAAATTATACTTCCAATCTAGGAGAACTGTAAAAATACTATGGTGACTAGTAATTCAAAAATTATATAAACTAATATCAGTTAATGAATACAACTATAAATCAAATACCTAAAATAAACATCTTAAAAATATGCAGTAAAGGAAAATGCTTAATAAGCAAAAAAAGCAGAATACAAAAGAACTTGTAATAAATATTCAGAAATAAAAACAATTAGTTCAGGAAATAGGATTAAAGTAATAATTTTTTTCTATTTTAATTTTTCAATTATTTAATATTGTTACAGTGCCATAACAAATTTTAAAAGGAAAATACTTATGTATAAATGAAGACCAGACCTTTTAAACTTTTTCTTAGACAAAATTAGAAAACATTTTTTTCAGTTAAAAGGATACAAAATATATGTAGCAAAATAAGCTACAAGTACTTGAACATAAAAGGTGTCCTTATATTTGGATAAAACTTTTCCTAGAGCCTTGGCATCATCCATATCTCTGGGAACCTTCATATTCACTCTTTCTTCTCTGAAGAAATAAAGTGAAACATTTTAGAACAGAATTTTGCCAAGAAAATATCAAAGTCAATTTCAAAACATGAAGTTTTATCCAAAATGATTTGATGTATCTTAACTCTAACAATTTTTTAGTTTAAAAGTCTATAATTTTTTCTTTTGAGACACAGAGTCTTGCTCTGTTGCCCAGGCTGCAGTGCAGTGGTGCAATCTCAGTTCATTGCAATCTCCCAAATTCAGGTGAGTTTCCTGCCTCCGCCTCCCAAGTAGCTGGAATTATAGGAGCATGCCACCATACCCGGCTAATTTTTGTATTTTTAGTAGAGACAGGATTTCATCATGTTGGCCAGGCTGGTCTCGAACTCCTGACCTCAGATGATCTGCCCACTTTGTAATCCTATCACAGTGCTGGGATTATGGGCATGAGCCACCATGCCTGGCTATAAATTATTTTTTAATGCTTTAAGATAATTTCATGAGACAGGCAAATTTTTTCTTCGTTTCTTTTTAATGTCTCAGCAGATTCAGAGACAGGTAACTTATATATGAAAGTTCTGGATGACGCAAACCAAAGGTTAAAGGCCAACACTGATAGAAATTTTAAATTGAATATAAGAAATGAGCCACTGATGTTAGTAAATTAAAAACATTTAACATCGGCCGGGCGTGGTGGCTCACAACTGTAATCCAAGCACTTTGGAGGCCAAGGCAGGTGGATCACCTGAGGTCGGGAGTTCAAGGCCAGCATGACCAACAGGGTGAAACCCCAGCTTTAAAAAAAAAAAAAAAATTTAATATCATTTTGGGTAATCCTTATGATAAACTAAATAATAATTTACAATGAAGATTAAGTAAAAATGTAACAAATTCACAGTTCAAACCCTTCTTGAATATCACAGATCAAAAGTCACAAAAAAGCTGCAACAGTTTTCTATTACTTTTACTCTATATTTGGCACTTTGGAACTGAATGATTACTTGCTTAGTAAAGTCTCGAATAATCACCTTTGTGTTTCATGCATATTATGATCGTTTGTTCTATAGGCAGGGTCCCTTGCTCTGTCACCCAGGTTGGAGTACAGTGTCACGATCATAGCTCAATATTACCTCCATCTCCTAGGTTCAAGTGATCTTCTCACCTCAGCCTACTGAGTAGCTGGGAATGCAGGCACATGCCACTATGCTCTCCTAGTTTTAAAAATTTTTATAGGCTGGGCGCTGTGGTTCACGCCTATAATCCCAGCACTTTGGAAGGCCAAGGCAGGTGGATCAAGAGGAGTTTGAGACCAGCCTAACTATTGTGGTGAAACGCCATCTCTACTAAAAATACAAAAATTAGCTGGGCATAGTAGCACACGCCTGTAGTCCCAGCTGCTTGGGAGGCTGAGGCAGGAGAAATGCTTGAACCCACGAGGCGGGGCTGCAGTGAGCAGATATTGTGCCACTGCACTACAGCCTGGGTGACAGAGCAAGATTCTGTTTCAAAAAAAATTTTTTTTATAGAGATGGGACCTCGCTATGTGACCCCAGGCTGTTCTCAAACTCCTGAATTCAAGTGATCCTCCCACCTCAGCATCCCAAAGTGCTATGATTACAGGCATGAGCTCCCAATTGTTTACATGATAAAAAATTCAACTGACCTATTTACATTTACATTTTGTAAAGACAGGGCGGGTGCTGGGATTACAGGTGTGAGCCAGGAACAATGGCTCATACCTGTAATCCCAGCACCCGCCCTGTCTCTACAAAAATTTTAAAACTAGCAGAGTATGGTGGTGCATGCCTGTAGTCTTAGCTACTTGGGAAACTGAGGTAGGGGATCATTTCAGCCTAGGAAGTTGAGGTTGCAGTGAGCTGTAATTGTACTACTACACTTCAGCCTGGGTAACACAGCAAAACCCTGTCTTTAAAAAAAAGAAGTGTAAGCCCCAATGCTGCTTTCTCAAGTCCTCTAAGACACCTAGTAAACTAAAAGTTCTTACTTATAAATATATAAAATTAAAAAGACTCTAGGCTGGGCACAGTGGCTCATGCCGGTAATTCCAGCACTTTGGGAATCTAAAGTGGGCAGATCACACAAGGCCAGGAGTTCAAGACCAGTCTGGCCAACATGGCAAAACCCCATCTCTATTAAAAATACAAACATTAGCTGGGTGTGGTGGTGTACGCATGTAATTGCAGCTACTTGTGAGGCCAAGGCAGAAGAAACAATTGAACCTGGGAGGCAGAAGTTACAGTGAGCTGAGATCACATCATTGCACTCAAGCCAGGGCAACAATGTAGAAACTTCATCTCAAAAAAAAATGTTGTGGGCTGGGCACAGTGGCTGTCACCTGTAATCCCACTACTTTGGGAAGCCAAGGTGGGCAGATCACTTGAGGCCAGGAGTTTGAGACCAGGCTGGCCAACATGGTAAAATCCCATCTCTACTAAAAATACAAAAATTAGCCAGCTATGCTGGCACACACCTATAAACCCAGCTACTCAGGAGGCTGAGGCACAATAATCCCTTCAACCAAGGAGGCGGAGATTGCATTAAGCCAAAATCAATACCACAGTATTCTACCCTGGGTGATAGAGTGAGACTGTCTCAATTAAAAAAAAAAGAATTGTGAATAAAAGCAATTTGAAGAAAACATGACCTTCCTGATAACTTGAAATCACATTTCATAGTTCTCCATTACCACATCAGGCCGGCCCTGGTTGAAAGTCTAACTGCATTTTAGTAGTCTTTTATCTAATTTATGATTATACCAGGGTGGTATTACTAGGGTTTAATGGCTCTGGGATATTTTGGCCTCCTGAAATATAGTTCCAGGCTGAGTAAGGTGGCTCATGCCTGAAATCTCAGCACCTTGGGAGGCTGAGGGGGGGGGGTGGATCACCTGAGGTCAGGAGTTCAAGACCAGCCTGGTCAACATGGTGAAATCCCATTTCTACTAAAAATACAAAAATTAGCTGGGTGTAGTGGTGCACACCTGTAATCCCAGCTACTCAAAAGGCTGAGGCAGGAGAACTGCTTGAACCTGGGAGGAGGAGGTTACAGTGAGCCAAGATCATGCCACTGCACTCCAGACTGGGCAACATAGCGAGACTCTGTCTCAAAAAAACAAATAAACATATATACATATTTCCACATGGGTTTTGCCATGTTGCCCAGGCTGGTCTGACGCTCCTAGACCCAACCCAACTACCTCAGCCTCCCAAAACGTTGAGATTATAGGCATCAGCCACTGCACTTGGCCTAAATTCACTTTCATCTTATAAATATACATACTGGGCATGGTGGCATGTGCCTGTAGTCCCAGCTACTCGGAGGCTGAGGTGGGAGGATCACTTGAGCCCAGCAGTTCTGGGCTGTAGTGCACTATGCTGATCGGATGTCTGCACCAAGTTTGGCATCAATATGGTGACCTCCTGGGAGCCGGGGACCACCAGGTTGCCTAAGGAAGGGTGAACCAGCCCAGGTCAGAAACGGAGCAGGTCAAAACTCCCATGCTGATCAGCAGTGGGATTGCGCTTGTGAACAGCCACTGCACCCCAGCCTGGGCAACACAGCGAGACCCCATCTCTAAAATAAATAAATAAATATCTATACATTTTCAGTTTATCTCTCAGTATACTTACTCGCTAAGCTGAGGAAAATTTTTATATACCAAAAACATAACAAAAGCTGCAGATAAGAAAATGGACACCAATATAAGGAGTGACATTCTTGCTGATCCAGCTTCTGCCCAGGATTTTTCTGGAAGAAAAAAAAAAGGCATAATTAAGATAAATATAAAGGAAGATGGTTGGGCGGGGTGGGGGCTCATGCCTGTAATCCCATTATTTTGGGAGGCCAAGGTGGACAGATCACCTGAGGTCAGGAGTTGGAGACCAGTCTAACCAACATGGAGAAACCCTGTCTCTACTAAAAATACAAAATTAGCTGGGTGTGGTGGCAGGTGCCTGTAGTCCTAGCTACTTGGGAGGCTGAGGCAGGAGAATCGCTTGAACCCATGAGGCAGAGGTTGCAGTGAGCTGAGATCGTGCCATTGCACTCCAGCCTGGGCAACAAGAGCAAAACTTCGCCTCAAAAAAACAAAACAAAACAAAATAAAGGAATACGTGATAGCAAGTAATTTCTGTAAATGCTTTCCTTCCAGAAAATGGTGCCCACTTTTGCCTAAAATGATGTGACATTAAACTTAAGCACTGTACAGTACTTGAAGTTTATTAACTGGATACATTACTTTTGGAGACATCTCCATTTTAGAAGTATGAAAAAGTGGAACACCAGAATCTGTATCACTGACTTATTGATAAACCAAAGGGGAATAAGGAAGCAAGAGGGGAAGCAGAAAGATGAGGATGCCATTGCAGTGGCACAGGGGAGAACGGCAGGTGACTTGGCACATTGGCTAAGGTGGGGAAAGAAAAGATGGATAAAGTGGACAGGTTAGATATGTTCAAGAGATAGTCTCAGCAGGACTTTTCAATGGATTGGTATGGTGGGTGAGGACAGAGGAATAAAGGATTATATA